ACTGTTTTTTGAAATTTGCACAATGTGTCCTCTCTCTCCAGTTTGAGAACCGCAGAGGAGGTGGCAATCATGTAAATCCCAGTTTTACAAAGTCAAACGTGGAAGACAGAGACTTGGCCCAAGACATGAAGAATCTGGACTCGAGCCAAACTCACGGAGACACAAGGACAGAGCGACCCATGAGAGAGGGGCTCTGGGCTCTTTGGACAGGTGTGGAGTGGTTAGCCGTGCTGCTAAAGCGTAAGCCGTTCACTAATACATAATACTAACACTACACTTCTCCTGTGACTGCATAGGTTTCCTCCACTGGAAACATGCACAACAACTGGTTTACTCCTGATTCATTTTTAGTTCAGTCTTAATTCAGTCCTGGTTTTTACGCCTGGTGCTACTACTGCTACTACTACTGTTACTGCTACTGCTACTACTACTGTTACTGCTACTGTTACTGCTACTGTTACTGCTACTGCTACTACTACTGTTACTGCTATTGCTACTATTACTGCTACCACTACTACTACTACTACTGCTACTGCTACTGCTATTGCTACTACTTCTGCGACTGCAACTGCGACTGCTGCTACTACTACTGCTACTGCTACTGCTACTGCTACTGCTGCTACTACTACTGCTACTGCTACTGCTACTACTGCTATTGCTACTACTACTACTCCAGCTACTACTACTTTTACTACTACTACTGATACTTCTACAATTACTATACTGCTACTACTACTGCTAAGCTATTCCAGCTACTACTACTATTACTACTACTACTGCTACTACTACGGCTACTGCTACTGCTACTATTACTGCTACTACTACTATTACTACTGGTGCTACTGCTACTGCTACTATTACTACTACTACTATTACTGCTACTGCTACTGCTACTACTGCTACTCCAGCTACTACTACTTTTACTACTACTACTGTTACTTCTACTACTACTATACTGCTACTGCTACTACTACTGCTACTACTACTACTGCTGCTACTACTACTACTACTGCTACTACTGCTACTGCTGCTACTACTGCTACTACTGCTACTGCTGCTACTACTGCTACTACTGCTGACCCTGAGCCAGAGTCCATCCATCTCAGAGGCAGATCCACTCTGATCCTGTTACTTCTGCAAAATGAGTTCAGATCGTTGCAAAAGGCTGAGAATCAAAATGTCCGCCTCCCCGTTTAACCTCCAACTGCTGCGACAGGAGAAACCACTACAGCAGGCTGGAATATCAATCAGGACATCGGGAGAGAGGGTTCTATTCAGGACAACTGAGTGTGTGTACGCGTGAATGTGTGTGTGTAAATGTGTCTGTGAGTACGTATATATGAGTGAAGGTGAATAAACGAAATACTGTCGGTTCTAAATAGACTATTATTAAAGTATTTTAAAAATATATGGTGGAACAAGTGTCTCACTGTGGCTCTCTCTCTCTCACACACACACATACACGTATAGGAGGAGGCAGAGGTGCATTATGGGATGTAGTCTCGACCACATCTACTGCACTGCTGGACATTGATCACCCATGTGCCAGACCCCAGGGACAGAGCCTGTGGATGCCTCTGTTTCCTCCAGTGCATCATGTGACACTATAATGTTAGCAATGCAGAAGAAAACAGCTGATTTAAAGCTAGTCTCTGTATGGTCTCTCTCTGTGGTCTCTCTCTGTGGTCTCTCTCTGGTCTCTCTCTATGATCTCTCTTTGGTCTCTCTGTGGTCTCTCCCTGGTCTTTGTGGTCTCTCTCGGTGGTCTCTATCTGGTCTCTGTGGTCTCTCTCTGTCTCTCTCGGTCTCTCTCTGGTCTCTGTGGTCTCTGTGGTCTCTCTCGGCTCTCTCTGTGGTCTCTCTCTGGTCTCTCTCGGTCTCTCTCGGTCTCTCTGTGGTCTCTCTCTGGTCTCTCTCTGGTCTCTCTCTGGTCTCTGTGGTCTCTCTCTGGTCTCTGTGGTCTCTCTCTGCTCTCTGTGGTCACTCTCTGCTCTCTGTGGTCTCTCTCTGCTCTCTGTGGTCTCTCTCTGCTCTCTGTGGTCTCTCTCTGGTCTCTGTGGTCTCTCTCTGGTCTCTGTGGTCTCTCTCTGCTCTCTGTGGTCTCTCTCTGGTCTCTGTGGTCTCTCTCTGGTCTCTGTGGTCTCTCTCTGGTCTCTGTGGTCTCTCTCTGGTCTCTGTGGTCTCTCTCTGCTCTCTGTGGTCTCTCTCTGGTTTCTCTCTGGTCACAGTAAATCCCTCCTCAGCTTTTTCACTTCATAAGCACTATCTTAATTAAACAGAAACTCTGCAGCTCACTTTCCTCCTCCACATTCCTACTTTCTCATCAGGAAATAACTCTATAAACTTGAATAAATAAACTAAATGAGTTTCCAAGTGCTGTTTATCTAAGACCAAAGATCGATACGAGAGAAAACCCTGGAATATAAAGCCGTCGATACCGAGCAGTGGAAAACCGCAGCATCAGCACATTTCAAACCAGCGCTCGTCCTAACTCCCAGCC